GCCCATCACCATCAGCAGTGGATTGGATAAAGAAAATGTGGTACATATAGACCATGGAATACTATGCAGCTGTAAAAAGAATGAAATTATGTCCTTTGCAGTAACATGGATATAGCTGGAAGCCTATTATCCTAAGCAAATCAGTGTAAAAACAGAACACCAAATACCATCTGTTCTCACTTATAAGTGGGATTTACACATTGGGTACTCGTGGACATAAAGGTGAGAACAATAGACACTGTGAACTACTACAAGGTGAGGGAAGGAGGGACTGATTTTTTTAAGACTGAAAGGCAGCAATATTTAAAATAATTTTTGTAAATTATTGGAATTTTGGTTGAAATAAATGGGACTATCTTCAAGTAGATTATATTTTTACTTAGTTTAACTGGTAAATTTTAACTTTAGAGGATACTTACATATTTGAACCTTCACTCATAACTAGGAAATACAAATTGTACCAAAGAACGTCATTATACTTTTAAATACAGTAATAACTTAAATTGAGAACTGAACATGAGGAATGGAAAGAGGAGGAATGTGGGGTTGTAAAATGGAGATTGTGTCTTGCTTAGGGTCTATGAGACCAACTGTATATCTTTAACAGTATTCAGACATGATTGGCTAAGGAGCAATTTGTACTGAATTATCTCCCTTGAGTATTTCTGTCAATGAGGGTGGTGGTGAAAGTGATCAATTTTCGCTTTTACTCCAGTGACAGGAGAATTTTGCCAGTCAGACACCAACTGTGTTAATTAGAGTATTAAATAAAAACAAGCATGGATCCCATGCCAATGTCAGTCAGTATATTCTACTCTTCTTTTTGTTTCAAGTCACAGACAAAACTCCAGTTTCTTTTCCTGGTACTTCTTTCTTATATTTTGAACATTGCTTTCCCAGCATCTTTAGTAAAGATTCAGTCCATGGGATGGGGGTCCTGGGTGAGCTTGTGGGCAGTAGTCACTGAAGAAATTGACCCACAAGAGTGAAAAAGAAGGCAGGAAGAATAGCATTTAGAGAATCACTAGGTTTAATGTTCTTTACGAGTACTTTGTTATCTAACTAGGTAAAGCATCGATGTTGTGAATGATCTCTTCCTCCTAAATGAGACAGTTCAGTTACAGTTCCTGTAACATTATTCCTAATAATGAGCAGGTATGCATTCTTGATTGTGAGAGAAATAGCAGCAATACATTGTTCTGAATTGCTCAGTGCTCTGCATTGCATCTAGTGTGCAAGAAACATACAACCCTGTGAATGCCCATGGGAGCACGTGACACATGGGAACATGATTAGTCATGTATAGAAATAGAATAAGGGCTGAGAACCTCTGGTATATATAGCAAGAAAGATCAGTCTGTCAAATTAATTTTTCAGTTTAATATTTGCTTTAAAATATTAAATTTTAATTTTAATATTTTTAAAATTATTTTTTAATATTTTTTAAATTATTAAATTTGCTCTGTCCTTTGATAGAGCAAATAGACAAACCAAATCAATTACAATGTTTGAAAGCTGTTCTCCAGGCTGAAAGGAAAGTACAACTTTGCCCCTATATAAACACTAAGCTATTGAAATACACACATTTTCACAAAGCTAATGAAGTGGTTAAGCAAGGACTAGGTTATGGGCTCCAATAATAAAGTAGGGAAGATGAAGCAAAAAGAGAGTGTCAGCAGCTGAAAGATGGCATGAGCAGTTAAAAGATGTTCTGTTTACTATAATCATATTAATATAATCAGCATTGTCCTTCAGTAGTAGTCCTTGGTTATGGGAAAGTAATATTATAGCTGGGAATAGTAAAAATGGATAGCAGAGTACTTTCAATTTTGATTCGGAATGTATTTTGTATTTTTAGATGACTATGGTGAGTTTCTTTTTTTTTCCTGAATATTAAATGAGTTAACATCAATTTCTTAGCAGATCAAATATATTACTTTTTTTTTTAAAAGAAAAAAAAAGGAGTGAAGGGGAGGAAGAAAGAGGAAGAAAAAGAGGGAGAGAGAATGGGAATATAGCTTTACTCTAAAAATGGGTATTGATAATGGCCGATCAATATTTTGTGTATTTAAGGTGGAGAATGTATATTTTGTGTATTTAAAATGGAGAGATCTATAAATTATTTATTGAGTTTACTTGTTCTGGATCTGAATTCAAGTCCTGGATATCCTTATTAATTTTCTGTATCATTGAGTCTAAATCTCTTTATGGGTCTTATGCACCTGGGTGTTAGGATCCTTAGCTCTTATTGTTGCATTGATCCTTTTACCACTATATCTTTGTTGCTTTGAAATCTATTTTATCAGATGTGAGAATTGCAACTCCTGCTTTTTATTTATTTATTTATTTATTTATTTATTTATTTATTTATTTATTTATTTATTTTTGCTCTCCATTTGGTTGGTAAATCTTTCTCCATCCCTTTGTTTTGAGTCTTTGGGTATCTTTGGATGTGAAATGGGTCTGGATGTAGCATACCATTAGGTTTTGGCTGTATCTTTTGATTGGGGGATTTAGTTGACTTAAATTTAGGGTTACTGCCATTTGATGTTAACTGGCTATTTTATCCATTTGTTGATGTAAATTCTTCTTTATGTTGATGCTCTTTACTTTTTGGTATATTTTTAGAAAGGCTAATACTGGTTGTTCCTTTCTATGTATAATGCTTCTTTCAGAAGCTCTTGTAAAGCAGGCCTGGTGGTAATAAAATCTCTGAGTACTTGCTTGTTCGTAGGATATTTTATTTTTCCTTCAGTTGTGAAGCTCAGTTTGGCAGGATATGAAATTCTGGGCTGAAAGTTCTGTTCGTTAAGAATGTTGAATATCGGTCCCCACTCTCTTCTGGCTTGTAGGGTTTCTGCTGAGAGATCTGCTGAAGTCTAATAGGCTTCCCTTTGTGGGTAACCTGACCTTTCTCTCTGGCTGCCCTTAGTATTTTCTTCTTCATTTCAACCCTGGTGAATCTAATGATTATGTGCCTTGGGGTAGCTCTTCTTGAGGAATATCTTTGTGGTGTTCTCTGTATTACCTGGGGTTGAATATTGTCCTGCTTTGCTAGATTGGGAAAGTTTTCCTGAATAATATCCTGAAGAGTATTTTCCAGCTTGGATTCATTCTCTCCATCACATTCAGGTACACCTATCAAATGTAAATTAGGTCTTTTCACATAGTCCCATATTTCTTGGAGACTTTGCTCATTTCTTTTTATCCTTTTCTCTCTATTCTTGTCCTCTCGTTTTATTTCATTAAGTAGGTCTTCGACCTCTGATATCCTTTGTTCTGCTTGATCAATTCAGCTATTCAAACTTGTACATATTTCGCTAAGTTTTTGTGTTGTGTTTTTCAACTCCATTAGTTCATTTATATTCCTCTCTATATTGTCTATTCTTGTTAGCATTTCGTCAAACCTTTTTTCAAAGTTCTTAGTTTCTTTACATTGGGTTAGAACAAGTTCTTTTAACTCCCAGAAGTTTCTTATCATCCACCTTCTGAAGCCTACTTCTGTTAATGGAACACAGTCCTTTTCCATCAGGGCTTGTTCTGTTGCTGATGAGGAACTGCAATCCCCTGTAGAGGGAGAGGGGTTCTGATTTGGGGTATTCTCAGCCTTTTTAGGCTGGTTTCTTCCCTTTGTTATAAATTTATCCATCTGTCATCTTTACGATTACTGCCTTTCTAGTTGGGTTTCTGAGTGGACATCCAGTTTATTGATTCCCAGCGATGGAATCCAAGCAACCCACTCCGCCAGCCAAAACAGCGGCATTAAGACTGATGGTGCTCTTCTGCCCAGGAATCTCCTCCCGTTTACTCTGCACGAAGAGCTGCCGCGCCAAGACACTGGCAAAACCGCTGCGCCGACCACAAGAGTTGCGCTGGTGACCCGTGGGGCTCCTCCACTGGGAATCTTCTGGTCCTTGAGTGACGAAAATTCGTCTGAAAGTGTGGCATCCTCTCGTTCTCTGCGCTTTCACTGGGAGCTACAATCCCGAGCTATTAGCGATCAGGCATCTTGGATCTGAAAGATGGCATGGGCAGTTAAAAGATGTTCTGTTTACTATAATTCTATTAATATAATCAGCATTGTCCTTCAGTAGTAGTTCTTGGTTATGGGAAAGTAATATTATAGCTGGGAATAGTAAAAATGGATGGCAGAGTACTTTCAATTTTGATTTGGAATGTATTTTGTATTTTTAGATGACTACAGTGAGTTTCATGTTTTGGAAGTTACTTCTGAAAACCTAATAACCTGCCTCACATTACCTGACACTCCCCAAGCCCCTTCTGTTCCCTTAATTTTACTCAGCTTCTGAGTAGAACTTTTTCTCTAGCTGAAGCATTTTTAAATCTTCCTTGTAGTTGGAAACATGATTGCCTCATTGGATTCAAGGGCTACATGTAAAATAACAACAACATGAGACTATAATATTTAAAAAGAGTGTGTATTAGAAGCCATTAAAGTCCTTGAGACTCATATTCATGAAAAACCTGAAATGTGATTATTAAGTTCAGTTTTTAGTGTGCAAACCACATAAGTTATCAAGGTGAACTGTGATCAGATTATAATTTATTTTAAGACACTTGGAAAACATTTAAAAGCTAAAGAAAGTAGGTACTTAAAATCTAATTTAAAAGGCAATATCCTCTCATTGTAAAATAAATGGAACATACAGAAAGTTAAAAGAATAAGATAAAAATCCTCAGAGTTCTAAAAATCTACCATTTATTAAATAATAGATAGCCATTATTTAATATTTGTTGCATCTTCTTTCTTTCTTTTTTACTAATGCTTAAGTGCATGTGTTTTTTTAAAAGTACAATTGGGATCTAACAATTTTAACTGCTTTTAAATTTCATATATTAAAACATTTTATAAATCATTAAATTTTATTTTACAATATAATTTTTAATAGTTGTGTAGTATAGAAAGGAGTTTAAATGTGTATTCACTTTAACCAGAGTTTACTTTACTAAATTATAGTTTTTTTTATTTTTCTGAACAGGTTTTAGATACTTGCACAATGAGAATGAATCTAAATTTACCAGCCAGATATTTTTATGACTTGTATGACAGAAAAATTAAAGATATTTCAAAAGGTAAGTGACAAAGATTTTTGTAAACCATTAGATAATATTTTGAAAGACATTTATATCTTGTTTTTACTTTAAACATTTAAAAGAAAAACATATAATAAAACATAGTTTAATTATAGCATGGATAACTATTCTTATACAAAGGGAAATCATGAAAGGATGTTAAGATTTTAGGAATCTTTTATTTCAGCACAAGTTTGAAGTGTTTAAAAAATTGATGGGTATTTTAACCTTTGTAAACCATAATTAAATAAAAATAATTAATACATTTTATAATGTAACAGCCAATGTATATAGGATACAGCTTTCCAAAGACAAATTTGAGAAATTGCATTACTGTATGACAGATAGAGGTGTTAAAAATGTTTTGGTCAACTTCTAGAGCTTATTCAAAAGTTATGAAATGGTATACCACACTAGATGTAGTTCAGTTTGGAGCCACTAGGAAGAACTCTCTACTAAATGTGTCTATCATGGTATGGTGATAAATGTTAACAATTGACTCTGAAAAAAAAATAAAAGCCCTGATTTGTAGCATTTAGCAACTGCATGGTGTAGGTGCTCCTACCATGGCCAATCTCAGGCTACTACTGAATACGACTGAGTTAAGAGGGAAGGGTTTTAAGTCACTGAATAAAGAATTTGGAGAAGAGAGGAGAACAATTACTTTTTGCAGACTAGTACAAGTTGGCTCTACCCCATAATTGTCCCTCAAAGTATATATATCTTGTTACAAAATTGACAGATTAGGAATTAATTTGACAATAGAAAAATTCACTCATTAGGTCCTTGCATTATTAACTCTACTACTACATAGTACTTATTCTGGACCAGGCACTGTTCTAAGCTCATCACAAATATTAACTCATTTAGTTCTCAGAGAAACTAGAATTCTTATTTATTGCAGTAACTAAGGTACAGAGAAGTTAGGTAATTTATTCAACATCACACAACTAGCAAGTGGTGGAGTTGGGATTCAAAGTTTGGCAGGCTGGCTCCAGTAACTGCACTTTTAACCATTGTACTCTGTCCTCTCTCTCTCTTTCTGCTTCCCTCTCTCTTTTCACATCACTGTCTCATCTATGTCAGAACTACATTTGTTTTCCTAGTACTTTACATACAGGATGTAATTATTTTATTGCTTTGTTACTTTTTTTGTGTGTAAGCACCATTCCTACCAGACTATAGACTTCCTGGGAATAGGCATTCAATAAATGAATCTCAGATGACTCTCCCACATGATCTGTTTCTACCACAATGCAACATAAACGAGGGCAAGAACAGAGACATCTTTGTTGTAATATCAGTAATTAGCACAGTGCCTGGGACATAGCTGACACTCATAAATGTGACATGAATGAATTAAACTGTCTACTATTGGACATTTAGTTGGTTCCGCTGTTTTTTTTTAATATAGTGTTTTCTAAAATACTTTTAATAGCTACTATTAATTGTACCAGGCAATTTTAATAGCTACTATTAAAAGTAGTTCATCTTCAGGCAAGAAAAAAAGTTATGAAACGTGCTTTAAAATAATTTCATTGTCTTTGTCAAAAAAGATTAGCCATATAATATCTCTAAAGGTACTGTTTTGTTTTGCTAACCTTTGAAAAGAAATACCACATTAGTGAGTTTAAATGTGTTATTGATGTGGTTCTATCACTTCATCCGAACTTGAACTTGAAGAGGGCCAAGATATTAAATAATATGCCTTTAATTGCAAGGCTAGGTCCAGACAACTGAAGTGATTTTGGGTTGTGGCTACAGCGGATATTTCCATTTATTTCCCATTTTCTGACTTGTACTATATAAAAGAAGATTATTGGCTGGGTGCGGTGGCTCACGCCTGTAATCCCAGCACTTTGGGAGGCCAAGGCAGGTGGATCACGGAGTCAGGAGATCACGACCATCCTGGCTAACATGGTGAAACCCCATCTCAACTAAAAATAAAAAAAATTAGCCTGACGCGGTGGCACATGCCTGTAGTCCAAGCTATTCAGGAGGCTGAGGCAGGGAAATTGCTTGAACCCAGGAGGGTCTCTAAAAAAAAAAAGGCAGATTATTTCCTTGATTTGTCACCCTTAATTAATACTTACTGAATGTTAACTGTGATATGTTGATACTTGTTTCTAACTCAAATTTTTTGGCCAAGTATTATATATATGTGTATTCAGAAAGTAAATTTGTTTTTCTTGGCCTTTTAAAAAAATGTTTGTATTAGATATCAGAACTATTTTTCATTTTATTATGTGTTTTTTTCCTGAAGATTTCAAATCTCCTCTAGACACCTAGTCATTATTTAGAAGTATTAGATAAGGTTATTTACCTGGAAAACATGTAACACAAAGAATCCTTCCTTTGTTTTTGGGGGGTAATGAGTGTCATTATTAAAGTTGATTTCTTCCTTTCTTGTATTTTTGTCTCCTTTTCCATCACTGTGCCTAAGATATTCTTTTTTTTTTTTTTTTTTTGAGACAGAGTTTCGCTCTTGTTACCCAGGCTGGAGTGCAATGCCTAAGATATTCTTTATGATCAACAATATTTTGAAATTACTCTTAAACTTACATTAATAAAAATAAACAATGTATTTTCTTAAGACCCTATCTAGACTTGAATTATTTACAGTTCACCTGGAATGAAAACATCAGCTTTGAATAAACTGCTAGAATTGAAACTCTAAGGAATTTTGGTTAAGATGAAAGATTTATAAATAAAAAAAAGATGAAAGATTTATATTTAGAAAGTTGACTTTCCTCCTCCCAAATATGGTATAACAGAATTACTTATCAAAACAGAAAAGCACTGATTCTGAGACGTGATACTTCATGGATGCCAGAGGCATTCAGATTCATGCCTCATACTTCACATATCCCAGAAGTATGCTATTATCACATTTTAATGCATGCCTTACCCTCTGTTTTTGCATCCTTATAAAAGCTCATGCCAGCTGAAATTAGCCTATGGAACCACTAACATGTGGAAGCATTACAAGTTCACTGGACTTAAAATATTTAAAGAAGCTAATCCTATTGGAGGAACTTCCAGTCTGTAGCACCCTAGTCACTTAACATTAGGTTTTTGAACTTCTTTATTTCTTTATTTCTATGATGTTGTGCATCAAATGATTGAGGTCCCTAAACGTTTGTGTTTGATGGTCTTCTAAACTTCAGCTTGAGAAAGGTCAAGTTTTATGTGAAAGTTATCTTTTGATTTAAACAAATGAATGCGGATACTCTTTTGATATATGACTCTTTTTTTTACTTGCTTTGTATCAGATCAGAAAAATACCTTTTAATAATGTCTAATGTTAAGATCATAGCAATTACTTTTTACTATAAGCACAGATTAGAAGTGTAATTGTACCAAAACAACAGATACAAAAAAATAAAATTTTTCTTCTATCTATTGCTTCTTTTTTTGGAGTTATATATAATTTCAAATTTTTCTTCTATGCTATGAGAAATAAGCACATTTGATATAATATTAAACTTTTTTGTCAAGTAAACCTTTGGAAAGACCAACAGAATAGCAAATTGCTTGTTTTAGATTTTATTCTAAACCGTAGACGATTTTTTTTTCCCTGAGACAAGGTTTTGCTCTATTGCCTAGGCTGGAGTGCAGTGGCACAACCACAGCTCATTGCATCCTTGAGCTCCCAAGCTCAAGCAATCCTCCCACCTCAGCCTCCCAAGTAGCTGGGATTACAGGTGCAGGCCACTGTGCCTACTTTTAAAACAATTTTTTTTTAGTGATGGAGTCTCCCTCTGTTGCTCAGGCTGGTCTTGAACTTTTGGGTTCAATCAGTTCTCCTACCTTGGCCTCCCAAAGTGCTGGTATTATAGGCATGACCCACCAGCCTGGCTTTTTTTTCTTTTTTTCCAGTAAAGAGAGAGTTTAATTGATGTGAGGCCAGCCACATGGAAGGAGTCATTACTCAATTTAACCTCTACCCTAGAAGATTTTAATAAAGAAATTTTTTTGTTACATGTGAAAAAGCTATTTTGTCATGGCTCTTGTATTGATCTATCCTTTCTACAGTAGAAAAGAGTATACCTAATGTGTACAGATACCATATTCCTATAGATGGTCAACATTCTGGTAAATAATACAGTTATTCCTTGGTGTCTATGGGGGATTGGTTACTGGAAGCCTTCCCCATACTAATATCCATAGTTGCTCAAGTCTCTCATATAAAATAGTATGGTATTTGCATATAGCCTATGCACATCATCCTCTATACTATGAATAATCTCTAGTTTACTTATAATACCAAATACTGTGTAAATGTTACATAAATAGTTGTTACACTATATTGTTTTTAAACTTGTATTATTTTTATTTCTAAAGAAATATTTTCCATTCATACTTGGTTGAATCCACAGATGTGGAACCCAATAAGATGGAGGGCCAATTATATATATACACACACACACACATAAAAATGCATTCTGCAAAATCATGCCCACCAAAATAACAGGGATATGGGGAAACTAGGGTTGAGGAAACCATTCAAAATCTATTAACCTTTAAAATCACAATACTATCTAAAATAATAATGATTAACTTAGGAGATAATGTAAATAGCCTGGGTAGGCATCTCAGAGCGCTGCTTTAGAAGGTATTAAAGCTGCATCGTGAGACAATGCAAATGGAAGTGAAGTGGAGATTTGGGTCAGTGGGGCTTCCTTTAAGGAAGGCACAGGAGGAAATAAAATTCCCACAATTAGAGAGTTATATAAGGCCAAGAGTGCACGTTTTTGGGGTGGTAGGTACGTTAGCCAAGCTAAGAGACTTTTTTTTTCATTCCTGATAAATGTTAGAATTCTATTTCTACCCTTTTGGCTTCCTTTGTTTAGGACAAAGCACATATTCATTAACCAAAGTTCTGTATCATTCTGACATAATTCTCCTATTTACTAATTATATATGAGCTATTTGATGTTATACAAGCACTTCAAAGGGCAGACAGATATGGACAGTGTCTGATTTTGAGGGAGGTTTTAAATAACAC